TCTATTATTTCTAGCAACTGGTGTATTGCAGCTGAATCTGAGTTTTGGAGAGACCCCCTGTAGACCATATGCCCCAGCCTGTGTCTGAGAGAGTGTCTGAATGGAACCACGAGGTCTTAGTTTTCCTTATAGCTTTCAGAGGGAAGTTGGATGGATGGGCTTCAGGTTCTAGATAGCTTACATTTCACTTAAAACCACTATTTCATAGACTGATATTTTAACTACTACCTCATTAGATAAATTCTTTGCTCTCCAAAGGAAATGGTTGAAATCATTGCTTTATACGGCCTATGATGGACCAATATTCTCTTTTGGAGAATTCAACAAATGAAAATGCAGGTCCATCCTATTTTCTTAGATTGTTTGAGTAGTGGTCGTTTGCAATAGAAAAAGGTCAAGGTTGTACAGTCCACAATGGCACCACCTAGAGTTAAGCAATGCAGTGACCTTATATGGCCCTGTGTGTTAGTACTGAATGTCATTGGAGGTTCAGGTGAAAATGCAGAGAAAGTGCATCAGGTGTCTTACTACTGGGGTAGACTATGTTTTATTTATAGAAGCATTTCTTAGTTGTTAGGGTGTGTGTGTAGGGAAGGGGCAATACTTCCCTTCCCTGACTGTGATCACAACCAATGGAGAGACATTTAGAAATCAGTTCAATACAGTATACTTCCTTTGGGACTAGAGAGAGGAGCTTTCTCTAGTTCTTACTTAGTTCCAACTTTGGATTCCCACCCTCTCTTAAAATGGCCATCAGGGTTGTTCCGGAGGACCCCCATCCCCCCAAAACGAAAAAAAAATTAGAATAGATAAACAGAGAACAACAAGGAAAGCTTAGAACCAGACAGGAAACGGTCAGCGTGGATTCACATATACCTTACTAGGTGGGACACAGAGATTAGTTGCTCCTCACTGGGGTATTGAAGATTTCTCTGCACACCCCTCCTAAAACTGTTCTACACCTCGACTGTTGACATATGCCTTGTTAGAGTTATAAGCCAGTTTAGACTATCCTAAAATCTGCCAAGTTCAGCAAAAATTATGCTTCAACACTATAAACCGCTAAATGCTAAAATGAAAATAGACATGAGACAGCTGAATAGTACCCTATAGCCATTTTAAGGTGTACAGCAGCCAGTTCTGTATATAAACTAAAATTGAAATGTCAATGTCAAAGTAGTCACAGGATGTGGTTAAGAACTTGCATTTTTAAAAATATATTGATTACTCAATACCATGTCAATTAATTCCATAATGTTGTAAATTGTTGTTGATGTTGTGTTGGGGCTTTTAATTGATCAGGATGATATTCTGCCAGCTCTACCTTCAGACCAGAGATGGTCTCTCCAAGAAACCGTTGAATTTATCTGGACAATAAGATGCTGGACTCTTTGCTTGGTATATGTTTGCAAAGAAATAATCTTGACTGAATTTGAACTGTAGTACTGCCACAAGGTGGAGGAATCCACCATGGGGGGAGGGTACGTTGAGGGGTTGGGGGAATCCCAGAGCCTATGAAACTGTGTCACATAATGCAACGTAATTAATAAAAACAAGAAACAAAAAGCAAAAAACCAAAATCAGTTCAATAGAGATTCCAGTAACGTCTTTAAGAGCCAAAAAGCTGATCCTGAAGGAAGTGGTTTATATCTGTAGGAAAGTGAATTGCTGAAAGTGATTAATTCTCAGAATTATACAGAATTACTCCCTGGCCATAGGCAATACCGGAGAAGCATTGCAGGCTTTTTCTTCCACCAACCTCTTCCCTACCCCCTGCCTTTTCCTTCCTCCTTAACATTTACATAATGAAGGGGCATGACAGAGAATGGGCTTCATCTAGTTCTTGTCTCTCAAATTAATAACTCAGGGCAAAGATCCAGAGTGTTGCGTTGAAAGATGTCTCTCCACAGGGGAACCCTAGATTGGGTGGTTCTATCCCTCAGTGAGTCCCCAGGAACATACTGCCTGAGGTTTTGGTAGAAGATATGCACTAGAATTCGGAAAGGGGATGATCAGAGAAGTACTGTCTGTTCAAGTTTCTGGAAGGAGGTGATGGACATTATTTGGTAGAGAGCAGCACATAGTTTAAACAGATTGACGTGAGAGCTCATGATTACTTGAAAGTATGGAAAAGCGGAAAAGGCCTCTCCATATGATAGGTACAGTGGTCTCAGAGATGTGGGTCAGCATTATTAGTGCCAGAGAGGCAAAAGTGGAATATGAAGGGTAGATCGCATAGTTCCAGCTCGGCAAGCTGCCAGGTTCAGTCCAGCTGGTGCACTGCTATGAAAGGGCTAGAAGGTTGCAGCTGTGAAGGGATATTCTGGGTCTCCCACAAGATGATACCATATAATGGGACATCACTCATCTGATGACATTTGACGCATAAGGAGTGCTTCTGGCTTACCATCTAAAAAATGACTGTTTTCTTTACAACAAAAAGGGGTTTGCATGAGCCCCAAGGGTGGGGGTCCCGGAGGAATCTGGGTCTCCTGCTCCAGGTCATCAAGCCTACCTGTGTGGTGGGGACTGGGCCCATGAGCCCGGGGATGGAGGGGTTCAGTGGGTCTCAGGTTGCATGATCTGGACCTTGAACCTAGCTGCACAGTGGATGATGGAACCATGAGCCTCAAGAGTGGGCAGTCCAGCATGGCCCAGGTTGCCTGGCTTAGGTCTATGAGCCCAGCTAGGAGAACTGGTCCTTCCCAGTGTAGAGAATGGAGTGCTGGATGGCAGACCATGGTGCATATGGAGGACATGGTAGCTCACCGGGCCCTGCAGAGGACATCTGGTACCATAGCAGAGAATAGAGAATAGAACATATGGATAGCTACCCCAGCCAAACAATGATGGCAAATATCTTGGCGATTGGAGACTGTAAGGTAGATGGTGTCAGCCAATGGACATTGGAAGGGATTCCTCATCCATAGATCAGTGACATCGAGAGCAGTTTGGAATTATCACATCTGCCTAGGCAGAACCTTTGGAACATGTGCCATTGATACCAGGTGGCTTCCCCCCATCCTTGGGTACTGGGATGGTAGGGAGGCTGGGTGTGGAATATCCCCTTGTCTCTCTCCTTCCCACAGAATAGGAAGAAGAAATAGAAAGCTTGGAAACAATGATTGCATCCACTTTTCCTTAATCCTAGATCCTTCCAGCCTGATCGACTGTGTAAACATCATCTAGAATAAAAATTTTAAAAGGGGTTTTTTATTTGTTTGCTCTTTGTCTTATGAGTTAGGCTGCAACCCAGAGCTGACAGGCTGTGTGATGAATTCCTATGATGCTTTTTTTTTCTTTTGAATTTCCCTTTGCTTAGTTGAAAATGGCATATTCTGAGTCAGGAGCTAGAAGGAATGGTTGTACAGTCTTTTCAACAAGGATAGATGATCCAAAGGTCATATACTTTTTGATTTTGAGATACTATAGTGATTTTTGTATGACCGATTTTCCTTTCAAAGTATTTCTTTCTTAAAATAACATTAGAATCTGTTACTGTAAGTGTACCCAGAAACTTATAGTTGAAAATTATGCAAAGAGAAATAAGATTAATTACAAATGAATACATAGATAATTAAGACTTAAGGAAACTGCATTTCCAGTTGGTCTATTTGATATGTATTTTTACATTTTTAGGATTTTTATATGTACAGACAAGTGGTGTAGCCAGATCTGTAAGCCAGTATTGTCAAGTTAGATTGTTTAATCCTAGAGACATAAGTCTGCCAATGTTGAATGGTGTAATGTTTGGTGTGATTAGAGACTCAACTGATATTTTGGGAGATACATTTTCACCTCCAAAAATCTTTGAGTTGTCTGTGTTATGTTTGATAACATAGAGCATGTAAAATGCTGAACACTGGACCTGGTACATAAGAAGTTCTCTAATACTTAACAACATGGAGAAATGGTGACCATTTTGGTTTGAAAATGGTCTTCAGTAGTATGTAAAGTAGTATCCCAGTTGTACAGAATTCAGCAAATAGTTAGTTCTTATGTTCTTATTGCTCTTTTAGCAACTGGGATGTAAGAACTAGGTGGGAAAGAGCATGCCATTGCTTGGTGTCTTATTTTATTTTGAATCACAGAACAGACCTCTCTCATGTCCTCCGTGAACAGAAAATATTTGTATTTCCTCTAGTTATTTCCTCAGAAGCCAGAGCAAGGCTGTATGGATAGCTGGCCAGAGGTAGCAGAGTGGGGTCCTCTTTGAAAAAGAGGCAGCAGAGCTCTGCCCACCTCCTCCTGCACAGGAAAGCAGTGTTCGAGAGGAGACAGTTTTTGTCCAGCTGCACTCCAGGAATAAGGATTGTAACATTCTCACTGAGCTTACTAAGGGACCGACGTGATCCCACATCACATTGCAAATGCTTCTTGTCTGAGGTGCCTTTGCTTGGGGAATCATGGTGATTCTTTCTGTGCTCAGTGTCTTGCCATTTGCTATTGTGTTTAGACCTTATAGATTTTTTAGGTTAGGGAGAAGGACTTAGAAAGATTGTTTGTGGGACATGCCTTCTTGAGCATATGAGCCAGTGTTGACAGACTCACATATAGAATCTGAATGCTCAGGACTCTTTGGCAGTGGATGGAGTTTGACGTTTGAGTTTGCATGATCTGCTGGCCTTGGTAGGCAGTGCCCATCTTGGCCCCATACTCTTTACTGTCCACTCTGATCTAAGGTAAGTCTTTAAGTCTCCCTGCTTAAGTTCCTTCTATAAGATCAAATGAAATTTTCAACCTATTTCCCAATTATAAGGGGTAAGAGGCTTGAATTTACAAAAATTATTTGAACAGGAGCAAATTCCCACTGAGTAGTCTTTGTGAAAGTTTTTATTCCAGCAAGAAGAGAAATTAATGTTATACTATCTTGGCATTTGAAAGAATGAGACCATTTAAAATTAGATGAATATCTGTACCTCTTCATTTGCAAGTTTTGCATTCATTGTCCCTCAAATCAGCATGCAAATTACTGACCAATCTTTTGATATTTCTTTCAGGGACACCTGTGTGGTTCTTTGTGAAAATTGCTCCAATTCGAAACGAACAGGATAAAGTGGTTTTATTTCTTTGCACTTTCAGTGACATAACTGCTTTCAAGCAGCCCATTGAGGATGATTCATGTAAAGGTTTGTAATTCTGATTTGCAAATGCATTACTGTCTTTTTGCCTTTAGTGTGGCTCTTGCTACAGGGAATTTGAGGTTGCTAAGGCAGTCTCTGCACAAAGTTCAAGAGTGAAACTTTAATTTGTGTTGGGTAAAGTACTGCATGATTATGGAACATATTGGCAGAGAAGAAAGGGAGAACAACAATAAAAAATCCCTTTGTTTAGAAAAGCTCTTGAATTTATTTCATCCCTTTTTAAATGAATACTTCCAAAATGAGTACAGAGAAGATAACTGGCCAGTTGTGAACCATCAAGGTTTTCTCAGGATTTCCAGTGATAGATGTCAGTCCTCCAAATGGTGCAGTCCATGGCCACATTCATCTGATTTATAGACAAATTTAGATTTGACTGAGTTCTGGAGTTTGTTAATACAAACACACACACCTCTCTACTTCTGTGGTTAAGTCTGAGGATGGTTAATTGGTTTGGAATACAGCTTTCATGAGGCCATGGCCTTTTCCAAGTAACATTGCCAGGTGGCTCTTTGATCAGCTTTATGATCACATGTTAGCACTTATCTCACTGTATCATATGCACATGTTGTTTGAATAACATTGAGGACCTAGGGAAGGATATCATTCAAGATTTCTGGAACAATGGCCCCTCTCGTCAGGAGATGGTGTGTTATTCCCTGAGGTTTTGGAGTGGAGGGTGTCTTAGCACCTCTTCATCTCCCTGGCTATAGTTTGCACTCTGGAACACGCAGGAGACCAGGAGCTATTTCATGTTGCAGTGCTGTTTGGCTCTGTGATTGGCTTTCCAGCTGGACCTGACAACTTGCTCCTTTTGGTTTCTGGAGATGCAGCAGAGATGAAGTGGCGTCCAGGGGACAGACTGAGGCAGATTATTGTTTGTGTGCTAATGTTTTGGTGGTTAAATGGATATTATAGCAGGAAATCAAAAGCATTAGGTGGAGGTTCTCTGGAGTGTATCTCCTCTGAGAGTAATATCCTGGCTCATTTAAACACTCATTTTAATAGTCATCAGATACATCAATGTATTCTGTTAAAAACTGGTAGCTCAGTGAATCCATTCCAGCCTGCCTTTTGGTTTTAGGATTGCAGCACAGTATCTCACAACAATGTCTGAGTGTCCGAAAGCTTCCATTTTCCTGCAGATTTATGATTACCCTATTTCTAGTTTCTGAGTTTAAGATTTTTCTTTAAATAGTAGCACTCAATGATGGACACAGTCATGATGAAATGCCAGCCTATCACCATGTAAAAGAGCTGTCTGTTTTTTGATTAAATAAACTCATAAATAACAAGGCAATTAAAGGCAATCAGATGTCTTGATATATATTTTTAAATTTTCCCTTAAAAATGTAAATCATGTGATTTGGTCAAGCCCTCATGCTTGCATTTTATCATTGCTAGAACCTTTTTACATGAGGTGTAGGTATTTGGTGGGACAGGTATACCTAATAGAGAATGCTCATTATCTACCACCCTGATGTTTGAATCTCATGAAACTTGAAAAGATAAGTCAGTAAGATCCATGTAGGTTTATTTTCCAGGGATAATAGATTTCACTTCATTTTACCTGCCTTACTGTTGTCTTTCATTGTTGGTAAGAGTTTTGGCACAACACACACACACACATTCATATTTTCACACTATTGACTGTTAGCCAAAGTATTCTTTTCTTTTGTGAAATAATATGAGTAACATGTGGCTTATAAAAATCTAAAACACATGCACATACACACACTTCAGCATTCAACATAGAAACCTTGCTAGTGGATCATGCTTAATGTCTCCTTGAAGACCTAACTTTGTTGCCCATTTCAAGAGCCACAGCAGACATGTCAGACCTTCCTATTTGTCATGTCACTGTGCCCCTGGCCCACTCTGATTTGATGATCTGCTTGGGGTGAAGTCAGATTTTATATTTGTTTATGAGGGAGTAGTGTGGTGATTTGCCAGGCCTCGTTAGTTTTAAACCCATGAACTTCCAACCTGGTTCTCAGGATGAACTCTGGATGGGAACTACACTGTCCTGTGTATGGACCTCTTTGTTGACATTTCTGCATTGTCCCAATTGCATTTAGAGTCATGAGACTTGTAGACCCTGGCTTGTTCTGAGATGTAATGGAAGGAGGCATGACTCCAATCCTGGAAAACTCTCATATAATTGCTCTTTAGTGTAGCCATCGGGGATACTTTTCCAATCATCGGATTAGTCTTTGGAGTCAGTTGTGCTCAAGTTGTCTTTATAATTAACCCATTTTTCCTGATTATGCAGTGTCTAACTTGGGGACTGAGGAGTGGGGCAAATGCTTCTGATAATGATTGGAGAAGCCATTTTGCACCCTATGGTTTTTGTAAACGACCCGCAAAGGAGATGCCCAGCATCCTTGACAGTAGACCATTTTAGCCTTTGACACAAAGAAATTTGCCTCCTCCCAGAGTTTTAAGTGCAGATGAGGAGTGACCCTGGGAAAGCTTTCTGAGTTCCTTCATTGACTGTCGTTCTCATGATCCTTTAATAAGGTATCCAGGTTCCTGACTTGGTTGTCTTTATTTTGCTGTCTGCATTTTTTGGAAGGATTCTCTTACCATCTAGCAAACAGTGCCCACACATAGCATGAAGCAGGGAATGCAAATCAGGGTAGATTTGCTGTCCACAAACAGCTTGTATGTATGTGTGTATGCATGTGTGTATATGTGAGTATTGTGTGTTTTAAAAGCTGAATGAGTGGAAATTCTTGGGCTAAAACGAGCATCTGTGATATGCTAGGGAATTTTGTTTGCTTCTTGGTTTTCATGGATAATGAAGACTGAAGGATTCCTAAAAATCTCCTCTAGAGTTTTACATTCCTTTTGGTGTCTGTATTTGGCTCAAGTTTAACTCTGAATTTAGAAGGAAACACATGGACCATTGAAAATGAGTTTGTTTCTTTAATAGGAGGTTATTTGGTGGAATAAGAGAGAAAACACGAGAGGTGACTCATCCTTGGTGAGCAAGATAGAGAGAATGCTCTGAGCTTTACTTTCTCATCCTTGTCTGCTCTTAGCAAACCTTCTGATGCAGCAGGGAGAATGGGAGAGAGAAAAGGATCCTGCTTTGCTGTGAGTGCATCATTGATCTGAAATGTCAATATGATTTCCCACTAGTCCTCAGGTTCTCTTCCCCTCTGTCTCACCTGTAGTTGTCATCCCAGTCATCCAAGCCAGAAGCTGGGGAGCTCCCACCAGAGCTCCTGTCCTTCACCTACAGCTATTGCTTGCTGAGTTTGGTCAGTTTGCCTCCTGCTCTCATGCGTTCCTCCTACTCTGGGGGCACTTGTCCACGCCTACACAGTCTCTGACTCATCTTCTGCCTGTCCAGCATTTTTGTTTAGTATACTTTCTGCATTGCTCTTTTTCTAGAATCTGTCAGTGAATATATCTCCTTTCCAACCATCTTCAAGTTCCGTGTGAGTTTAAGTTTTTTGACTTAGCCTCCAGGTTCTCACTGACTACAGTTTCCCCTCTCTGGTTCCTGAAATTCTTCAGCATCACTTCAGGCCATTCTGTGTCTTCCACCTGCCCTGTGTGCCGGAGTCCAGCTCCAGCCGAGTTCGGAGCTCGGGAAGGGTGCGTGGAGTCGGCGATAAAGAAAGACACAGACACAGACAGTTGGTGCGTTCTCACCACAGCTCAGAAAGAAACTGTCCTTTTTTTTTACTCAAAACCCTTCTCAAGCTTCTGCACAAGCAACTATTCTATTTTTTCTTTTCAAAATTAAGGGGGCATGTACAGACATTTGGTCACTCCGTCTGCACTTCAAGGCTAAGCAGGTGCTCCTAAAGATAATTTTGCAAAATACTGTATTCATATGCTTCAAAGCAAGCTATTGTTTATCCTTCAACAGTAGCCATGGAGCAACAGCCAGGACTCCAAGGCCAAGGCACATGCGATTATCTGCTAATCAGTAATACTTTCCCACCTCATTTCTACTTCTACATTTTACCCATCATTTAATGGGAAAATAAGTTACAAGGGAAAAACCTAAAATCTAAAACAGAACTTAAAATGTTAAATCCCCCTACAACTACAGACCCCTACAACCCCATAAACAATAAAGCAATAATCAAAAGCATTTTTTATTAGTAAAAGCATCCTTAATTCCTCTAGCTAAAAATTATAAAAGTGGCTAAAACAATTACATTTTCTATGTCCCAAAAAAATTGCAAAGACAGGCTAGCCTTTGAGATAACAATAACTATATTTATTGCCATAGCAGTTTCAGCTCTCACTCCCATCACTTGTATTAATATTTAGGATGTTTTCAAGCCCCTTCCCAGAAGGTGTGCTATATGTCTGGGCCCGATTTCAGGGCAATAGGTAGGTACACAATAAGGTGTCCAGAAATGGCATGGGTTTAATTGTGCTCCTGTGTGTAAATTGTCAAAGGCCCACTCACCAAGACATTATCATTGACACTAACTCTCAAGCTCACGTTGGTGATAAAAGCCATCCTACAGGGGCAAACAATGCCTCAATAGATTACAGAATTCTTAGTGGGGTGCTTGAGTGTCCATGCAGCCAGGGGGTAAAACAGCATCAGGGTGGTCAGAGAGAAATACGCCGGGCCCTGCCAAACAGCTGGAAGCTCCCCCGGGCCCTGCCAAACAGGGGAGCTGTTCTCTTCACACCTTCGTGCCATCCACACCTACCGCACGGACCCCAGCACCTGTGAAAGCCATGCATCACTCCTTCAGCCATGTAGAATATCTTGCTCTCTGGTGACATATTGACCTGCCTTTGTAGATGTTATACTGTCCATGTGGAAAGTCCTTTCTTTCCTTCTTGAGACCATCTAGTTTCTACTCATCTTTTAAAATTTTGCTAGACTATCCAGCACTGTGCCTAGTGCATGCTGAATAGATGTATAGAATCAGTACATGAATGAATCTTTCTTTTATTTGGCTAGGCTTGATGATTATTATGCAGTATCTATTTTCCAAAGAGGAAACAAGGCATTGGGAATTTGAGAGAGTTTCCTTCCCTTGAGGCAAGGAGAATCTGCCCATCTTGGGGAGAAGATCCACTTCCCATGCAGGACATTCTTACCTTGTGGTACACTCTGCTCAGGCAGGTGAGAGCAGCTCCTTTACGAGCCACATTCTTGGAAAGAGAATTAGGGCTAAGCCAGAGGGAGTTAGGAGTTGGCTTGAACTGGGAGAAATGCCTAGAGAGGTTCTTGGTTCTTTCTGTTCATCTGTTCATCAGCTGATGGACCAGGTGGAGTCTGGTGTACCTGCCCTGCCATCGTTATTCCCATGGTCAGTCATTGGTGGTGAAGATGGTGGTAAGGTAGGTGTGAAGCCTTTGCTGACATTTGCATGCACCACTCTTTTCTACCTGATTGAGAGACATGGTACCTGGAGCTGGTGTTGATAGTGGCATCCCATATGGGTGCTAATGTGTGTCCCAATTGTTTTCACTTTGGTTTCAGCTCTTTGCTAATGGCCTGTGAAGTATAGAAAAAGATGGCCTAAGTGTTTGGGCTTCTGCTGCCCACAAGGGAGACCTAGAAGGGGTTCCTGGCTTCAGTATACCTGCTGCTTGTCATTATAGCCATCTGGGGTATAGGCCAGTGGATGGAGGTCTCCCCACCTCTCTCTGTAGCTCTTTAAAGGTAAATAAATCTTTCTTTAATTAAAAATGAGACATACTTCCTGCTCTTTTTGAAAAGCTTTGCAGAATTCAGTTCTACTTTATTTTGAGGTAAAGACTCTGAAAAGAGACTTTAAAAGTTCTGGTCCACAGTTGCTACAAGCACATTCTGGTGAGCCTGTTTATAAAAGGTGCCTTTGGGGAGATGTCAGAGACTCTGCAGAGTCTTGGCCATCCCCAGCAGTCCCACATCTCTGCTTCATGGCATCGGAATGGATGAAAGTGCCACTAGCATTTATTAAAGACCCTTTTGCCATGAGATTGAAAAACAAGCTGATTTGCTATTCTTGCTATATTGGGTAAGATTTATCCAGATTATGATGCTTAAAGATTGTGCCAAAAAAAGTCCCTTTATCTGTTTAGCTCCATTGTCTTCTGGATATTAAGTCTGTTTTGGAAAGGAGCTCCAGGTGAAATTTGGGGTCGTGCTGGAAGATGCTGCATACTTCTCAATTCCAGAGAATAAAAAAGTGCAATCTTTTGGTGGTGCTTTTAGCTGCCTGGTTGCAAAGGTTGTCTGTTTATTTGCTATACATCTAATGTACCTGTTTTTGGAGCTCTTGAAACCTGAGCTTGTGAACTTTGAAAAGTTTTCAGGGGTCCCATGGGGACAACTGTTACAGTCAATACCTTGTTCAATGTTGGAAGATTGTCTTTGGGGGTCTTCGGAAATAGTCATCTTCATTCACACATCTTTGACACTCAGCGAAAACCTCTCACCAACTGTCTTTCCGCCATCTCAAAGTAGACTAAAGTCTGTTAATGCTTTTTCTCTTCCTACCTTGGAGTATTTGTTCCCCTGGCCTTGGGTAACCATTTGAGTGGCTCAGCCATTAAAAATCCAGAACCAGCTCCTTTCCTGCAAGATTAGGCAGTGTGGGATTAGAGATAGTCAGAACCTTGAGTTGAGAAACAGTTTGATTGCCTGATATTTGTGGGTAGAAAGATCCGTGGGGAACTGCACTCTTAATTCTTTCTCATTGTCTGCATGCTCTGTCCTTAGTTTCCTTGTTGGTAAAATGGCACTACAACCGGCCCTACACACTTCATAAGGCTGTTGCCAGGAGGAAGTGAATGTGCTTAGGAAAATTCAATTGCTATCACATTTGCGTAGGTGCTGTCCTGAGGAATGAGTGTTGTTTGTGGGGAGTGGAGTGAGGCATGGGAGCTCAGGGGGACAGTGGGTGCTTGTTTCTGACTGACTGTGCACATGTCCCTTTGGGCATAGTTGACCTTATCTTTTTTTACTTTTCCACATGCTTCAGGCTGGGGGAAGTTTGCTCGGCTGACCAGAGCCCTGACAAGCAGCAGGGGGGTCCTGCAGCAGCTGGCGCCTAGCGTGCAGAAGGGCGAGAATGTCCACAAGCACTCTCGCCTGGCAGAGGTAAGGGCAAGGGATGGCTCTGCTCAAAGCTCACATCTATGGGGTGCTGGCCAGAGGACAACTGTTCCAAGCTGGTGAGCTGGAGGGGAGGGAGCCTTGGGGGTCCCCACGCTCTTGCCTTGACTGGGCTGCCTCTCAAACTGGATGACTTTAGGTAAGTGATCCAACTCCTTTGAGTTTTATGGTTTAATGTCAGTAGCAGCTGGCTTGGAAAACTGACTCCAACTTGCTTGAGTTTTTGGATATTAAGTCATTTTTTTTTTTGAAGTAGGTAAAGAAGGAACTAGAAGTGCCTGCAAGCTATAGACGGTTTAGTTATTATTGCAGTTCATAGTATTATGGACAAAAATGACAAAGGAGGTATAAAAAAGAAAATAGAAATCACTTATAAACCTGCTGACCATATGATGTTGTTTGTTTTTTTGTGTGCATTTACCTAATTTCCATGCATATATTGTATGTCCTAACGTCTTAAAAAAATTACGTTTCTCATTAATATTTATGAAATTGATGTATGCTTGAGAAGCAATGTGTGTGTACATTGAATATGGTTGTGTTTTTTTTCTCTTGCGTTTATATAATCAGGAACATTGCTTCTTGGCCTTTTGGCTAAGATAAAGTGTAGTATGTAATCAGGAACATCTTTCCATGTTAATAAATATACCTAAAATGATTATTTTGATAAGCTTTGTAGTAAGGAGGATTTGTAATGATGGTTTTCTCCCTTTTGTTAGGGCATATGAGAGGTTGGGAAGTCTCTAGAATGTGCTTTATCAGGTTTAGTAACCCTGTCTCTAACTATGGACCTTTTTTACTGATTGTTGCCAATGAAGAGAACGAAACACTCCACTTGGCAAACTTCCATGTTACCCACATATGGCAGTGTAAGCTGTTCCTCTGCCTGGAGGTAGCCAGGTTAGTCCTGGATCCAAGCTTGGGTGGTGAGGCCCTTTCTCATCCAATGCCTGGCTCTTGTATTGCTGAGGAAGAAGCTCCCTGTGTGCTGTGCCCCTAGCAGGTGCTCTGCATGTGTGTAGGAATGAATGCAGCATGAGTCAACTCCTGAAGCTCTCTTTGCAGCAGCAGAAGCGTTAGCTGACAGTGGGAGTGTGGAGTGCTTGAGTGTGTCCTGTTGGAGGAGAAGGCAGTCAGATAATGGCAGCATCAGTTTTGGTTATGATGTGGCTCATCAGCCTGTGGGTCAGGAAGACTAAAAGGGTCTGATCCACTCACAGGCTGCAGTTTTCTTTGCCCCTTCTATGGTTAATCACACAACCTCCTCTCCTCTTTCTCTCCTCCCAGCTCTCTCTTACTTGGCTGTACTGGCCTCCTTCCTGTTCCTTTAATTCATGACTGGTACTTCCCACACTTTCTGTGGGACAGTTCCATTGGGCAAATACCTTTTTCTCTATGTGGCTACTCTTATCAGTGGGGTTCTACCAGAAAAACAGAGCCGGTGGGATACATATATATTAAGAGATTTATAGCAGAGAATTTGCTTATATGACTGTGAGTGTCAGCTACACAGCTCCAAAGTGTATGGGACTGGTTGGCAGAGTATACCAGCAAACTTCTTCAACCCAGAGAAACCTCAGTTGTTCTCATAAAGCCTTTCGACTGATTGGATGAGGCTTATACAATATACAAGAATAATCTCTTCTGAAAGTTAGCCAGCTGTAGATATTACACACACAAAATACCTGTATGAGGACACTAATCTAAACACTAAATTTTTCTTAAATAACTGTGTGTCATGACACAAATTGACATCCAAAACTGACCTTTATGGTTCACTTGTTGTCAATAAGACACCCATCTACATTTCCCTAAGCCATGCCAAATCCCCAAGTAAATTAAAGTTGAAAATCATGCATCTGACTACCATAAGGTAGGATCATGGTGTCTAACACATAATAGAAGGTGCTCAGTAGCGGGTTTTTTAATTGATTGAATTGAAAGAAAAAGACAATGTTAATATTTTTGCCCATTAATTGTCGATATAAGGCAGTCACCTGATTATTAGGTTATTAGGTTCCAGGTAGCTCGGCTGTGGTTTACTGACTTGATGAATGTTTTCTAAGATCCACCTTGCACCTTTTGGTTTTGTTGATTTCTCTCTATTGAGTCCCTATTTTTAATTTTCATTGTTTTTTGCTCTTAATATTTGCCTTTCTTTTGCTTACTTTAAATTTAATATGCTCTTATTTTTCTAGTTTCCTAAAGCAGAAGTTAAAAATACTGATTTTTAAAGAAAGGTTTACTAAGTACTTGGGTAATGCCTACCTTGAGCAGGGCCAGGCCAGATTAAAACTGGAAGGCAGCAATTTGATCTACTAGAGCCATCATCTGCTACTATCAGAGTATGAGTTTGCAGGAAGCTGGGACTGGGAGCAGAGCTGGGACTGGGAGCAGAGCTGGGACTGGGAGCAGAGCTGGGACTGAGAGCAGAGCTGGGACTGAACCCAAACATTCTGACATGGGATGAGGGTATCAAACCAACCCCAGCCTTTTCATTTTGAGGGGTAATTTTACAGGGTATAGAATTCCAGATTGGTGGTTTTTTCCCCTCTCAAAAATTTGAATATCTCCTCATCTACTCTTCTTGCTTAGGCTGATAGTATTTCTGCTTCTCTGTAGGTTAGGTCATTTTCTCCCCCCTCAGCTAGGGAGTTTTCATTATTTTTTTCTTTTTTTCATTTTACTTTGAAAATATGATATATTTAGGATTTTTGTTGTTGTTGCATGTTTGTTTTCTTTCCTGTGACGTTTATTCTGGTTGGTGTTATATGCTTTGAGATCTGAGGTTTGACAATTGGCATCAATCTGGGGACATTTCCAGTGATTATTTTTTTCAAAGATTTTTTCTGCCTTTTCCCCCTCTTTATTCTCTCTGGTATTCTTCATATAAACGTTTCTGTTGCACGCTTTGTGGTTATCTCACAGTTCTTGGACATTCTGTTACTTCCTCGTAGCCCCTGGCTTTCTCTCCAGGTTTGGAAGTTTTTGTTGGCAAATCCTCAGGCTCAGAGATTCTTTTCTCCACCATGTCCAGTCTGCTAATGCACCTAATGAAAGCGTTCCTCATTTCAGTTACTCTCTCTTTCTTCTTTTATTTTAAATCTCTAGCGTTTCTTTCTGGCTCTTGGAATATCCAATTCTCTGCTTACCTTGACCGTCTGTTCTTCTTTGCTGTTTACTTTGTCTATTAGAAACCTTAGCATGTGAAGTATAGTCCCTGTAAAGGCCCAGTTGGATAGTTCCAGCATCCCTGCTCTGAGTCCGCTTCTGCTGCCTGCTCGGTGTCCTCAGACTGTGCTTTTGCCGATTGGTTTGTCCTGTGATCTCTGTCTTTGAAAGGTAGATGTACTAGATTAAGGGAACTTGGGAATGACTAAAATGAGCTAATGAACATGTCATCTCATGTTTGCTTTTCTTATGGTGAGACTACTTAAGACCTGCTTTCAGCAGTTTTCAGGAACACAATGTGCTGTTACTAACTGTGGTCACCATGTTGTACGATGGACCTCTTGAAGTTCCCCTCCTAGGTAACTGACCAACAGCTCCCCATTATTCTCTCTTCACAGCTTCCTGGTAACCCCTTCTCTACCTTGAGTTCAACTGTAGTGTGACTTTCTAGATTCCGTATGTAGGTGAGATTATGCAGTGTTTTTCTGTCTGTGCCTGCGTTATTTACATAACAAAACATCCTCTAGGCTCATCAGTGTTGTTACAGATGGCAGGATTTTCTTCTTTTTGAAGACCAATAAGTATGTATCATATGTAATGATAACCAATTTAAATTTTAACAGGTTGAAGTGTTTCATTTTGCATTTTCTTTATCTGTTTACCTGTTGATGGACACCTGGGTTGATTCTGTATCCCAGTTATCATGAATAATAATAATCTGCAAGTGCAGATCTCCCTGACATAATGATTTTATTTCCTTTGGATGTATAGTGAGTAGTGGTGTTGCTGGATCATATGGTAGTTCTATTTTAAATCTTTTTAAGGGTACCTCCATCCTGTTTTCTTTATTGGGTATGCTAATTGATAACCCCACCAACAGTGTGTAAGGATTCCGTTTTCTGCACCTCCTCTCCAACACTTATATTTCATCCTTTGTGTAATAATCGTTCTAATGGATGGGAATGCTATGTCCTGGTGGTTTTAATTTGTGTTTATCTGATAGTAATGGACAGTTCTCCATATGGCTGCAAGCCATGTCCTGTGTCTTCTTTTGAGAAATGTCTACTCAGAGCCTTAGCCCACTTCTTATTGTGATTTACTTTTAAAGATTTATTCATTTAGTTGACCTGTTAAGCCCTCCACTCATTAGACTGCTTTGGGTATTCAGATGCTGTTACCTATGATAGGTAAATGCATATGCCAATAATAGCAAAGCATTGAAGATCAACTTTTTGGGCAAGCATTTTCTCATTCTGGAGTATAGTTCAGCCAGCTCCTTGTGTCCCAAATGAACTGGGGAGCCAAAGGATATACACTATGGAAAATGTTTGCAAAGTGCTCTGAGCTCCAGGGTCCTTCTAATCATTCCTGAAAATATTGGCATATTTTGACATTATAGTTTTAATAAATGCAAATATATACTGCAGATGCTTATCTGTTTCACATTTGAAAAGTGTATCGATCGTGTTAGTTGAATTAATGGTGCAAGGTTTTCATTGGACGATCAGGGTCAGGAAGCTGGATAAATGATAAGCTGAAGAGCTGTTTTATTGTCTACCCCCTGGGCACTAATGAGATTATCATTTAAGGTCATTTTGCTTCTTCTACTGATTAAAATACTATGATTTTACAACATCGAAGCTCCCTTTTTTTGAAAGATTGATCTTATTTTTTATTTGAGAGGCAGAAGTACAGAGAGAAGGAAATAAAGAGAATACCTTCCATCTGGTGATTCACGCCCCAAGTGGCTGCAGAAGCTGGGGCTGAACCAATCTAAAGCCAGGTGCCCGGAGCTGCTTCCAGGTCTCTCATGT